CAAAAATCCCCGCTGGCAGCAGGGCCCAGTGGGCAGAGCAGAGCTCGCCCTGAGCAAGACAAGGCGGGGGGTTCCCAAAGCCGCGGCCTTTGACCTTGAGAGACCGGGCGTGAGGAGGAAACCCGTTCGACGGGCACCTTGGGGTGTCTGGGAGAAGAGACTCGCCCTGAGCAAGACAAGGCGGGGGGTTCCCAAAGCCGCGGCCTTTGACCTTGAGAGACCGGGCGTGAGGAGGAAACCCGTTCGACGGGCACCTTGGGGTGTCTGGGAGACGAGACCCCCGGCTGCTGGGGGGGTGCGCACTGGGCCGGACAGCAGAGCAGCTCTGGGTGGGGTCAGGGGAGACCCCAGCTGCTCTGTCCCAGGGGGTGTCTGCAGAGAGGCATACAGGTCAGCCTGTGACTCGCCGGGTGATCTGGGGGGCTCAGGTGTCACCTTCCCCGTCTGTGACGCCAGGGACCCGCCCCTCCCGGCTATGACACCACAAGGCAAGCGAGTCGGTGGGTCCCCCCGGGGCTGTGTATGGAGGCTCCCTCCCAAGCAGTGAATCAAGCTGCAGTGCAGGGCTGGCTTCCAAACCTGGCCAGCTCTGAGAGCTGCCACCCTGGGCAGTCTGGCTGGACCCCCAGCTCTATGGGGGCCTCGGGGTGCGACCTACCGACACTCTTACACAACAGGCAGAAAGGGTCCTGTGGGCAGAGGGAGTTGGGAAGACACACCGCTGCCTCTCCCAAGCCTCCCTGCTAGGAGTCAGTATCACTGACCCTGAGACAGATGGGGGGAAACTGAGGCACGTTGCAGGGCAGTGCCTCGAGTCCCTCGACACCGAGGGCGTCGGGGCAGAGACAGGCTGTAAACACAATAACCCGCTGCCCTGAGGTTCCGATGCACGAACAAGCCGAATTAAAGGTGACAATAAAGGCTCCTTCTCCCTGCAAATGTCGCCAGATGGGAATGACTCATGAGAATGGGAAGGGGGAGTCAAATTGGGTCCCACCTCCTGCCAGCGGCCGGCTCTCCCTCCCCAGGCTGGGCAGGGGCTAGACTGCATCTCTGCTCCCGTGCTCACAGTGAATATCCCTCGGGGCCGGCTGGAGGGGCACATGCCAGGGGCAGGCAGTGTGTATATTTCGGTAGCCCCATGGTGCTGCCCGGGCCTCCCCCCTACCCACCGACGGGCCAAGCCACGGGACAGAGGGGAAGGGATCAGTGGCAGGCCAAGGAGACAGCCCTGGCAGTGCCCTGTCCCCAAGCCAGTCTGTGGGTAGGACGCCCTGGGCCTCCGTTCCCCAGCAGAGCTGCCCTGGCCCAGGGCCGTACTTACAGCCCCGGTGCCAGGCACGAGGTCAAAGTCCGCCGTGCGGCCCTGCGGGCACGGCTCCTTCTCTGTGTGTTGTTTGCTCTCCAGTTAATCGGCCCAGTTCTAGGAAATGGCGCAAGTCCTTGACATGCCACATGGGAGCCCAAAGGTGGCCGTGGCCGCAGAGCTCAGACTAGGGCAGGCCTTGCCGGTGCAGGGTGAGGCTTGGGGGGGGCCGGTCATCCCGTTTGGGATCTTACTACATGTCGGGGGGGGATTCCCCTCCGAACTGGGGTATATGAGTCGTCTGCCATGCCAGATGGACTTTTGCTTGGGGGGAGGGGGACACAGTCCGTGGTGACGCAGGCGGATCTGCGCTCACTGCACTTCGCAGGAGCCTGTCGCTCCCCGGGGCGGAGAAGCCAAAGTTTTACCAAGGGAATTCAAGCTCCCTCTGCCCCCCAGGCCTCTCTCCCCGCTCTGAGATGTTGCATCTAAATGGGCCCGTTTAAAGTGATTCAAATCAAGCCCGACACAAAGATCTTTTGGGCAGGATTGGAGGGACCAGGGGGTGCTTCTGATGAGCCGGTTCCGTAATCCGGCCTGCGGCCGTGACCCAGGCTTAATCGGCCCAGTTCTAGGAAATGGCGCAGTCCCACGGTGCGGCTCAGGGTTCCCACAGCTGGGGGCTGAAGCTAGTTGCTCTGGGGGGGGCACTTTTACCGGTTCCTGAGCAGTACAATGGCCCCAAGCCTGCTGCTCTCACGCTGATCTTGGCATTTCTGCACGGGCCAGGGGAGCAAGAAAGAAAGAAAGAAGCTTTCGGGCCCCGCTGGTACATTTCCGTATCTCTGCATCCCAGAGCTCCCAGGGGGCCAGGGGAATTGTCGCTGCCTGATTCAAAGCCGCCAACGCCGGGGCTCAGCCCAGCTGGCCAAACTCTGCCCTAAAGGGCGGCCGTTTCGTTCCCAGGATGCAAGGCTGTACGTGTGGAGCGTTGCATGCTGGGACAGGGAGCCTCCCCAGCCGCAGCCGCATGCCACCTTCCCTCCTAAGGGGGTGCCCTCAGCTGTCTTTGGCGCTGCTCTCGGATCAGGCTTGGAGAGCACCGCCCGAGAGGGGTCATTGCTCAGGCTGCTTAGAAGCGACCTTAACCCAGCTGAGCACACGGCCTCCGGCACAACTCCCCAGCATGGTGGCGCTGGGAAATGGGATCAAGGCCTTTGGCTCCTTAGGGGGCGGCCGGGCCAGGAAGGGGTCGGCCGAACAATGGGCCACGAGCCAGCGCTGGGGCGGGCAGGGCCGCGCGGCTGCATGCGCCGGGGGGGAGGAGAAGGCATCTCGGAGAGGAAAGGTCTCTCGGAGGGGTCACAATAACAAGCCTGCCCTGAGAGCAAACAGGAAAGGGATGTCCGCCCGGCCCGAAGGAATGCAGCCGGCCCTCTCGGCGCATGGCGCTGCCACCTGGGGGGGCCTGCAGCGAGCAGCCTGCGAGGCAAAGACACGGGTGGCCTCGGCGGGGCCTGGCCACTGAAGCGAAATCCCGGGCCGCAGGGACAGCACGGGCCTGGGGGATAAAGCCAGCGACCTTCTCGGTTCCGGATTCACGCTGCTGTGCCAGGCATCAACCAAGGCCAGTGCATGTCCCCGCCCCGGTGCCAGCCGCAGGGCCCCCC